ATTGCACTTTATTTAGCTATATCTTTGTGTTTACAGGTTTTCGGTGCTACTACGGACGGGGGCACCTGATGTTCCCGAACGACAATAAATAAAACCCCAAACCCTAAACCCTAAACCCTAAATAAACCCCAAACCCCAAATCGAGGCCCTGGAATGCCCACGAAACCCTCAGCCGCTTAGGTTTCGGTTTATGTAGCTTGGCCCCCCAAGGCCTAAACCCGAAACCCTAAACCCTAAACCCTAAACCCTAGCCCTAAAGCTTTGGAGCTACAGCTGAGGAACCTTTCGGACACATGCATGGACGATCTGCCTCTCGCAGGCATGTAGAACCCTAGACCCTGAACCCTGAATCCTGAACCCTAGACCCTAAGCCCTAAGCCCTAAACCCTGAACCCTAAACCCAAAAACCCTGAACCCTAAACCATAAACCTTGAGCAATAAACCCTAAACCCTAAACCCTGTAAGCTTTGAGGGATGAGAGTTCTAGGGTTTGTCCTTGTAGAGTAATATAGGGGCCTTAATAATAATTAGAATAGGGCTTGGGGGGTTCCTTATTCTAGTTATAGTATAGTATACCCCAAACCTTACCCTAATTATTAAGACCCCTATATTAGGTGACCTTCAACCTTTTTGGGGTACTATAAACCATATTAGAATGCCGATTTATACTCCCAAGCTTAACCCTGAGTTCCCAAGGATGCTGGGTTTAGGGTTTAGGGTTCAGGGTTTGGGGTTTAGGGTTTAGGGTTTAGGGTTTAGGGTTTAGGGCTAAGTTATAGTTCGGGGGTTTAGGTATGGTTTTTGGATTTTGGTGCTTTGAGGGTTTTTCCATCGTAGCACTGATCCCCGCAAGCCCGTGGTGGAGTCCTTGGTTGAGGGTATGTAAAGCCCCTGCCCTAAACCCTAAACCCTAAACCCTAAACCCTAAACCCTAAACCCTAAACCGCAAACCGTCGTGGCGGATTCCTTGTTTAAGGGGTGTAAGGCTCTGCGTGCTCGTGGGGTTTAGACGGTTTTGTGTGCCTACGGCCTTGAAGATGCTGGCTTCGGGGTATAGCGTTCAGAGTTTTAGGTTTAGGGGCTTTAGGGGCTTTAGGGGTGTAGGACTGTCAGGAGATGTGTGGCTTGCTTCTAATGAAGCCTTATTTGGAGGAAAAGGTGTCCTAATTGGGTTTATGCTACTTATGACTCTTTCTAACATCTACTAAACCCTAAACCCTATACCCTGAACCCTAAACCCTAAACCTCTAAACCCTAAACCCTAAACCCTAAACCCCTAAACCCTAAACCCCTAAACCCCCCTGAACCCTAAACCCCTAAACCCTAAACCCTAAACCT